AACTTTTGTGGTAATTATACTCTGACCCAATTCTTTAAAATAATTATATACCATTCGTTTAATTAAAAAAAAAAACTAAATTGGGAGATTAGCCAAAGTCTGGATTAACTCTTCAAATGACCAAATTAACCCTCACTACTTATTATATTAACTTTTGTGGTAATTATACTCTGGCCCAATTTTTTAAAATAATTATATACCATTTGTTTAATTAAAAAAAAAATTAACTAATTAAATGACACTTTATCACATATCAACAAAAAATTAAAGAGTAATTAAAAATCTAAGTTATTACAATATTTCCTCCTTCTAAAAATTTCGTTCTCAAAATTGACTTGGTAAATTATCTTTTCGTTTCCGTTGCGCACTCAAATACAATTATTTTTATTAGATCAGTTCCTAACACTTAATTTACACAAAACAAAACGTATACCTAATTTACAAAAATATCCTCTCAGCTTTTTTTTTTTTCTTTTTTTTCCAACAGTGTGCTGTTTCAACGCAAGTCAATGGCAATAGACTTTTTTTTAATATTTTTATAAGCTGCTTTAATTTCCAAGGAAGACAAATTTATTTGGCGAACTGTTTACGAAACCTTTTTTTTTTTTTTTTGAGAAAATTACAAAAAAACAACTCACTATTTGTTTAACAAAATTTAAAACTGTGTTGGGGCCAAAATAAAAAACAATGGGTGATGTTTTGTAAAAAAAATAAAAATAAAATAAGAACAACAAGAGAGTGGAAATAAAATGACAGAATTATATGCCAGAGTTGATTTTGTACTCTCTGAGAATTTGATCTTAACTTAATATTGTGCTGCCATCATCATGCTATAGATTTGAATCTTATCCCTCAAATGAATAAGTTTAGATTAGTTGCTTAATTATCTGAAATGCTTAACTTTAGGTTCAATCCTATTTTGGCCCAACTCTTACACTAATTATATATCTCTTTTTCTTCTTCTTTTTTTCGATAATAATTCCTAATTTAATTACACTTCATCTCATAAACCCATAACATTTAATATTTTATTTTATTCTTACGAAATATTTAATTAAACATTTAGGGTTTTTCTCATTTATAATTAAATAATACTAATATAAAATTTAAAGGATAACTTAAATTTTCGAGGTTATTACAATCTTAAAATTCTATATTTGTGTTAATTTGGCCCCACAAAAGTAATCACATATTATTTATTATTATTTTAAATTTGTTGTTCCCGTGGTGTTAATTAAACATTTAGGGTGTCACAAAATTGACTCCAATTTGGACCCAATTAATAACATCTCAATTTTATTAAACTGAATCGGATATTTAATTAACCTCCCATAGGGTCCGATACATAAAATTAAAATAATTTAATTTGTCAATTTCACCTTCTTGAGCCAATTAAGTTTTTAATTTCTGATTCCAAAATAGTTCTTTTATAAAATTGTATACGAATCAATACCAATATTGTTAATCAATTCCACAATTAAATCAGAATAATAATTCACCTTGATTAATTAAATGTAAAATAATATATTCATCATATTTTCCTTTTTTCTTTAAAATATGAAATTAAATAGCTCAAGGTCTTCACAATCCATGATGCATGCAAATATAAAACTCAAATACTTCATTTGTTCAAAATCAAATTCAATTTGATACTATTATGAGATCAATTTCCATATTCATTAACATAACTCATTTTCCGTCATCCTCTTGTTAATTTCTTTTTAAATATATGAAATTGAACCCACTATGGTATAAACCCTTCGTCTTTACTTATGAAACCAGATCATTAACCAAACAAGACATATACTCACACACAAGTTCCACTACGATAATTGACTAGAATGTTCTTAACTCTTCTTGATTTAATTAGATGAATAGGATTAGCTATTAATTCTTATACTCAGATATATACACAAAATTTAATTATATTTACCACGACTGTTACTACATAAATATTTAATTTAATACATCCTATAATCTAGTTCAATGTTTCCCCCATCTTATTTGTGTGTCTCCTATGCTCTAACGAATTTTTTTTTTTGTTTTTTAATTTTATAAACCATTATTCTGATGCCATTTGTCACAACCCAAACCCGGTACCCAAAGGTTCGGCGTCGTGACAAGGCAAAAAATGAAATCATAACAAATTGATGGTGCAACGGAGCAAAATAAAAGGATACCCAAAACTTAATTTACTTATAACAAAAATATATACATTGGAGCTTCTATTTAATTACATTGCCAAAGCTAGATTATGACTATAAAGTGCCTTGTGCCTATCCCACGCACTGATCCTGATATGTCACTTGAAAATGGTAAACAACTATAAACACATGGCAAAGTGAGAAATATTATACTGAGGGTATAAAAAGTCACCATGGATAATTCTTGGGCTAAACAGAGAATAGTTTGGTATTAAAATACAGAATATATAATACGAAAATCATTTGACATCTAATACAAAAATCATATAAACAAAATAATTATAACTATGGTATAGAATAGAACAGAGGTCATTGAAGTGACAGTAAAGGGGTACGGATTCAAGAGGTGGCTTGTACGGATTCTAGCGGTGGCTCCTACAATAGTATAGCACTTAGTTTCACACAACATTTTGCTCTGCACAAAACAAAGGTCAATAGATCTATGACAAATAAAGGACCACAAAGTGGTCAAACAGAGACTAATGGTTATTTAAGTCTCGTAAGGCATGAGACTCCCGTGGTAATACATACAGAAAATAATTATTTACAAAATTATTATCAAATAATTACTAAAATTTAAACAAACATATCCATAGATTTCAATTTAAGCAAATGGAGTTCAGAAAATAATTAACGTAATTAAAATATAAATAAAAGTTATAAAACATAACTTGTATAAAATAAATTATGGTAATTCAAAACATACATAAAATATATTATGATTACTCAAAATACAATATAACTCACCTTAATATTGACCCTTAATCTTTACTTTTCACTACCACAAACCTTCTCACTTTTAGTTTCCAATCTCCAGTACTCTTGCGTGTTTTTCTTTTTCTTTTTCTTTGTTTTTTTTCCACTGATCTTGCGCAACTCCTATCTAGAGGGAGGCAAACTATACCTTCACTCAACACGTGTCCACAGCCAATCTTCAGCCAATCTTCCGTAAAGATTTGGACTAGAAATCCTCGTAGATTTATACTTATCTTATTATATTAACTTTTGTGGTAATTATACTATAGCCCAATTCTTTAAAATAAGTATATACCACTCGTTTGATTAAAAAAAACAAACTAATTAAATGACATTTTATTGCATACCAACAGAAAATTAAAGGGTAATTAAAAAAATGGGTTGTTACAGTCGAATCTCCGCTCGAGCAATAAAAGCTGCGCTCGAGCGAGAAAGCAACTTCGAGTGCATTTTTGCTTTTAGCTCGATCCCCGACTTAGTCAACGAAATGGCAAACATGAAAGGATTAAGATCACAAACTTCTTTGCATAGGCACAATTTGAGTTGGATTCGCATCTAAATACTTGTAACATCACTGAAACAAAAGAACGAATAAAATTATAATTGAAAGGAATTTTGTCAAACAGGATTGCCAATTACAAAAACCTAACAGTCTCCCCCTTGGCAATTCCGTGACAAAATTCACCTAACAATAAAATACTAATCACCCCAACCTATTATAGCCAACTAAAAAAACTTCTTTCTCAAGATTATGATCATCTGCAAAACAGCTATTAGTGCCACAAGAGTATATGAAAAAGCAACAAACATACGACGAGATTATCTTGAAGCATGAGATGGAAATATGAACGGCAAAATAGCTAATAGTGCCACAAAAGTATATGAAAAAGCAACAGACATGTGACGAGATTATTTTAAAGCATGAGATGAAAATATGAATAGATGAGGATTGAAGACTTTAAGAACATGCAGCATGAGTAGATGAAGCATTTATTTTAAGAAACATGCAAAAACATTCAAAACTTAAGAAGAATGCAAAAACACTCAAAATCCTCCCCCTCAATAATTCTCTCCCTTTTTATCATGAATTGTCAAAGGAAGCTCAATCAATTACAACAATAGCATAAACCACACAAGCAAAGACAATAGTACAGCTTGAGATAAGTAAGCAACAAATAAATAGTGCATAGCAACATGCAAACCAACTAACGCCAATCTCTCTTAAGATCACAAATTTCTTTGCATAAGTGCAATTCGGGTTGGATTTGTATCTAAATACTCATAACCTCCCTGGAAAAAAGAGCGAAAAAATTATAACTGAAAAGAGTTTTGTCAAACAGGATAGCCAATTACAAAAACCTAACAACTTAGGTTTCAAACTAGATATCAAAATGAGACCATAGGATCCAAAGTCTATACAATTGAGGCCTTTTGATAAGAAATTTCTGTTTTTTTGAAGGCAAAACTGCTAAGTTGCCTTACGATTGAGCCATCTTAATTTTATAGGCTTAGTGTAGTCATAACAGTTATTCTTTCCCTCCCCCAATCTTGAGGCCTATATGTTGTTGAAATGGATAGTAAATTTCTATACTTGTCTTGTTTGATTTAGTTTTTTAAAATTATTTTTGATGTTTTTCAAGCAAAAGCTAAGTTGGTAAAAAAAAAAAAAAAAAAAAAGATACTCATAATTTCCATATGATTTCTATTTTTTTGAATGGAAATCATTTTCAGAAAATTCAAAATTATTTTTTTAGTGTTTATATTTGTCAAAGTAATTTATATATTTTTTCATAAATATTTGAGAAAACGAATTTCCAAAACTAAACCTAACGCCTTTTAAAAAATGAAATTGAGTTTTGCCCAAATAAGCTAGTTTTCTGTTAATTTTTATTTTTCACTGCAAAAAAAAAAAAAATATTTTCTATCAAAACAAACAAATTGTTAGTTCCTAAACAAACTCTCCAATTTAAGAATGACTGGAAAATCTTCACTGGTCATGACCTATACAATTCATGAAATGAAAGAGAAACTGAGAAACTTTTCCTGGAAATGAATTGAACAGAGAAAATTATGATAATAACAACATAAAATTTTAAATACAAAGCCACAATCTTCTAACATGATAAGAAAGTACTCATTCTAAATTGAAAGACTAAAATGTGAAGGCAAACATCAATACAACATAGGAATGTAAAATGAACCGTCACATTCCATTCAGTGAAATTTAACAAAAAAAAAGTTGTTCAAGTAAAATATTGCGCTAGCAAAAAGAGTTAGCGACACTGAGGATAGTTGGAGAATTCAGAGAGCACGAGCTTTGATGATGTCGAAGCTCATTTCGCTTGGATCGGTTGCCTGCAATTCGACTTGAATCCCATCTAGTTCTCTCTTGAATCTGTCTTTGGAGCTTGCATACAGCATTTTACTCCTTATTCTTGATGTGTCTGGTGCCCTAAATGACGCACAAAATAGGCACATTTACTGATGGTTAATTTGTGCCTTGGTTGTGTTTTTGTTTTCGTTTTGAGAAAACATAATATGGGAGTTTGGTTATATTTTTGTTTTTTTGGTGTGTTCATTTTTGTTTTTGTGTTTTCGAGAAAAAAAATGGAAAGTTTGAAACACTCATTGTTTTCATTTTTGTGCAGAAATAATTTTTGAAAATTAATGAACAACTTTTTGATGTTTCTACAAGATGGATAATTTTTTTCTCAAAAATAGTTTTTAGAAACAGTTTGCCAAACAAGTTCTCGGATAAAATGAAAAGAAATAGAAAATAAAAACACAACCAAACAAGTACTTTTTTTTTTTTTTTTTTTTTTTTTTTTTTGGGAGTGGAAAACAATCCACTTCTTAGGAAACACTAGGTCTCATTTGGGAACAGGCTTTTTTAGTAACTTTTTGGCTTTTTAGCTAAAATATAATGTAAAAAAAATTAGTATGTTTGGGATAAGTTTTTGATTTTTTACGAAAAGATGTGCAAAAAGTAGAAAGAAAATAGAATCTTTGACTTTTTGGTATAAGTTGTTGACTTTTTGGCTTTTCTAATAATTTTTTGACTAAAAAAGTCACTTGTCAAACGAAACCTAAGAGGTTATTTTCAAATTTTGAAAACTATTTTAGTATAAAAATGAAAAACTATGAATATTTTTGAATTTTTCCTTGTTTTTATTTCCAAAAACTCAAAAATTGAATACGAAAAAAAAAATACAAAAGCACAACCAAACTCTCATATTGTGTTTTTTGAAAATGAAAACAAAAACACAACCAAGCATAAAAATGAAAACTATGGGTATGTTTCGAAACCTGTTTTCGCATAAAAGATGAAAACTGGGTATTTTGAACACTAAACTGTTTTTGCTTCCGTAAACCCAAAAACAAAAAACCCAAAAGCGAAAATACAAGCAAACAGACAGGCATAAGGAATGAGTACAATCATGGATCAAAAGTTTCAAGAATCGAAAGGAACACAGTTACCATGCAATGAAAAAGATCTTGCTTTTCTGGCAATTCTCATTGGTTGTGAAATCCAAATCAAACACAGCATATCTGCACTCATCTGCAGGCAAATTGTTGGTGAAATCTTCATAGGTTTCCTCAGGACTCCCCAATTTCTCTACCTTCACTTGTTGGATTGTTTCATCAATCTTAAACACTATGAATCTGTAGTTCCTCTTTGTCTTTAGCTCCAAGAACTTGAGCTTGCACTCATCATTCACAGCCATTCCCGACGCTGCATTCGCCTTTTGATAGACAAACAAGTTCAGAGAAAGAGAAATTTATTCATGAAAATTCACATTTCAAGTGTAAATCAAGAGAAATTCAATTCAATGCAATGGTACGAGTGCCACAACTTGGTGATCGGTGTCCAGCATAACCGTTGGCTTTGAAACCACTTGTCACGATACTAAGTCCCTTCAAGCCCACAAATCATGGCACCCTGCTAACGGTCTGCTGTAGCAGAATAAGCTGAAAAGGCCATTTCTATCTTATTAATAAAGCCTAAACGTTCTTATTGAAAACTAAAGCGCTAAGGCAAAAAAGGGACCTCTTACTATAGATACGCTAGCACGCCTTATCTTATAGGTCTATACACCGTCCCTTTTGATTTGACCCCATACATATTTCAGCTATAGAATAATGTTGGCCAAGTAACAAATTGAGTTGTGATAAGCGCTTCACTATAGGGGCAGAGTCAAAATTCCAAAAGTAAAGGGCCAAAATGAAGGAATAAGGTTTTTGGAGGCAGGCACTAATGAAAAAAAAAAGTTGTGGCTTTTTAAGAAGTATGGTGATGACCATCCCTCTCTTCATCATAATGCTTTAGCAAGCGTAGTACACGAATTTAAATCCCTTAATTCACTAGATCTCTTCAAGTATCCCCAAATTTTTAAAAAAATTAGGAATAGGGTTCTTGCTAGCCACCCTCTCCCTCCACCTTTGCGTCTAAGGAAGCGTGTTCAAATACCATAAAGCACTAGACCCCTTGGGACCACTTCAAGACTTCTTAAAGTTTTCGAGGGGCATGATTCTTGGTGGCCACCCCCTCTATCGCCACCCCTATGTCTCACAAAGTTTTAATTCCATGAAGCTTTTAATCTCTTTGGGTTATTTACTACCCAGAGTTTGTTTTTCGAATGTGTGGAACAGAAAATTGCATAAACAGTAGATTAATTAGAGAATGCAAAATTACAAATAAATTTTGATTTTGTAGATTGTCCATGCATGCCAATGCCATGTGTGTTCTAGCAATAAAAAACAGCAAGATCTATATGAGATCAGAGAATTCACCATTTTCAATTTTTTGATTATAGTACATTCCATTTACTACAATATCAAAGAAACATAAACATTGCAAGTAAGAGCCTTAAAGCGTTACTCAAAAACATACCATAGTGCCCCCCCAAGTGAGAGATGAACCTTCCACAATGATGAGAAAACAAAAGGGAGAGAGAGAGAGAGGTCTGAAAGAGAGAGAGAGTAGAAGATCCTTGTTTTTGGGTAGGGCAAGAGAGGCACTGAAGAAATGTTCAAAGGATGAGAGAATTTTTAGGGAGTGAATACATATATTTATATATTAGAACGTGATGCGTATGCAAAAATGAAAGACAATAATAACCGTTATATGCATCAAATAAATAAATAAATGTAGATACAAGCTTTTTTTTTTTTTTTGGTGGAAGAAATCAAAACTTAGGCAGTTTTATAAGAGTATTTTGGACATAAAAAATGTGTGAGGTTGTTTCGTCAAACAAATTATGTGCTTTATAAAATTATATATTACAAAGATGATATTGGGGTAATTTGAGAAATTGCTAAAAAAGCAAAATTTTCCACTTTCTAATTTTTTACACAAAAAAATTACAAAAAAATCAATTTTTTTACACACAAAAATAAAAAAAATTAAAAATTAATTTTTTACCAACTTTTCCAAACATCACATTATCTTTCTTTGAGGGGGAAGCTGATCATGTCCACCTTTCCTACCCTCCCTCTTCGCTCGCTCCCTTTTCTGCCTCTCGAACTCGGCCTCGATTTCTGTCTCTCCCCTTATCTCTCACTCGATTTCTGCCTCTCCCCCTCTCCCCCTTCTCTCTCAATGGCTTCAAGTCGCAACCCTCCCACTCGCTGCCTTTCTCCGCTTCGTTATTTTGGTTTTGTTGGCTGGTTCTGAAGGCTAGGGTTTCCGATTGAGAACCGGGAAACTGCGATTGGCACCACCACCACCACAGCCACCGTCATCTCTCTGCTTCGAACCCCCATGGGAGCTCTCCGGTACCTCTCTCCCTCTCTCTCTCTCTCTCTAATTGTTGTTTGTTGGTGTAATTGAGATCTATAATGGTTTAAATCGATGTTTTTATTTATCATCATTTCTGTTTCTGGTATATATGTGTTAAGCTTTATTTTGTGGTTCATGGTTTCTTGTTTGGTGGTTGCCTAATTAGAACTATGGCAGAAATTGCAAAGAAATTGTGTAATTGGGCATCGCAATTTCATCCTCTCTCTGTTTTTTTTTTTGTTTTGGCTGTGTCTGTTCTTTGTAGCTGTGTCTATTCAAACCCCAAAACAGAGGTACTTCAGTTCTTCAGTTTTTTGCTTCCAGATTTGGTTCTATCTGTTAGATTTTTCTGGGTTTTGTTTTTACGCCTTGAATTTTTGGTCAACTAGTGATTATTAGGTTGAATTAGGGTGGGTTAATAGGGCCGGCTTAGATCTGGTGCGATTTGTAATGGACAATTGTGATTTTAATTTGAAGTGGTTATGATGAATCGTTTATTTTGATTTTAGTTTGTATGGTGAACAAGAGTCACTCACCGAGGTAAGATTGCTGTCCACTATTAATGGTCATCTCATCAGCATCACAGAATCCATGATTGCTTACGTGTTGGGGTTCTTTTCCAAGACAGAACACCATCTCTTCCCGAAAGTTGAGGACCAACAACTTATACACATCCTCATCTAAGAGTACTTCCTAGAGGCCCACGGTGACGCCAGTTACACGTGTTTACGCCCAAGCAAGCTGTCTGGCCACTTGCTATTCATTGATTCCGTGGTACATAAGAATGCCTTTCCACTTGGGCATAAAGCTAAGCGCCGTTTGGAGTTTGTTCAAGTCTCATATGGTTATCAGCATGGCTATCAGGTCCTACTTGCACACATCATCTGGATGCATATGCGCAAATTTCTATGGAAGGCAGTTCGGCCTTAACCTATACAGAACTTGACTTGGCCCCTGCCATTTGCCAACTTGCCCCATCCCCTGTGGATATTTAAAGAATATCACCTACCCTACCCAATGGATAAGAAAAAGAGGGGAAAACCCATGTATTTGGGTTGGGTCTCCATGGATATCCACATGGTAGGTTATCCATTGCCATCCCTATCTCTCACTCGATTTCTGCCTCTCCCCCTCTCCCCCCTTCTCTCTCAATGGCTTCAAGTCGCAACCCTCCCACTCGCTGCCTTTCTCCGCTTCGTTATTTTGGTTTTGGGTTTTGTTGGCTGGTTCTGAAGGCTAGGGTTTCCGATTGAGAACAGGGAAACTGCGATTGGCACCACCACCACCACAGCCACCGTCATCTCTCTGCTTCGAACCCCCATGGGAGCTCTCCGGTACCTTTCTCCCTCTCTCTCTCTCTTTCTCTCTAATTGTTGTTTGTTGGTGGAATTGAGGTCTATAATGGTTTAAATCGATGTTTTTATTTATCATCATTTCTGTTTCTGGTATATATATGTGTTAAGCTTTATTTTGTGGTTCATGGTTTATTGTTTGGTGGTTGCCTAATTAGAACTATGGCAGAAATTGCAAGGAAATTGTGAAATTGGGCATGGCAATTTCATCCTCTCTCTGTTTTTTTTTTTTTTTTTGGCTGTGTCTGTTCTTTGTAGCTGTGTCTATTCAAACCCCAAAACAGAGGCACTTCAGTTCTTCAGTTTTTTGCTTCCAGATTTGGTTCTATCTGTTAGATTTTTCTGGGTTTTGTTTTTACGCCTTGAATTTTTGGTCAACTGGTGATTATTGGGTTGAATTCTCACTCTCTGCTCTCGAACTCGGCTTGCAAGGTAATTTTTTTTCCTTCTTCCTTATTTTGGTATTTTATGTTTGTTGATTCACTCAGGTTATTTTAGGGTTTTGTTGGCTGATTCTGTTTTTGATTAAAATTTGTGGTTCATGGTTTTTCAGCATTGTTTGGTGGTTGCCTAATTAGAAATATGGCAGAAATTGCAAAGAAATTGTGAAATTGGGCATCGCAGTTTCTCCCACCTTTTTTTTTTTGGTGCCCTTCTGGCTGTGTCTGATCTTTGTGGCTGTGTCTGTTCAAACCCCAAAACAGAGGTATTTCAGTTCTTCAGTTTTTTGCTTCCATATTTGGTTCTATCTGTTAGATATTTCTGGGTTTTGTTTTTACGCCTTGAATTTTTGGTGAACTGCTGATTATTGAGTTGAATTAAGGTGGGTTAATAGGGCCGGCTTACATCTGGGTTCAATTTGTAATGGAAAATTGTGATTTTGATTTTAAGTGGTTATGATGAATCGTTTATTTTACTTTTAGTTTGTATGGTGAATATATATTTTGATCAACTGGTGATTATTGGGTTGAATTAGGGTGAATTGAAATTAAAAATCTAGATGTTTGATATATTGGGCTAAATAGTAGGCTGGTTCTGTTTTTGATTAAATAGAATGATCATTTTTTTGTTTTGTCACAGGTTTCTAATTTGACAGAACCTTTCTGAAGAGTAGAAAAAAATTTCGACATTGTCGAGGAAGCATCATTGTATCAGCGAAGTTTCAGTTCGGTTCTTATCCGTGAGACAGTGAGTCTTCTATCTCAGTTTTTGGATTAATTTCTATTTCCTTTCTCTTCATAGATCAGTGTAGTGTGTGCCAACACCAATAAATAGAATCTATTTATTACTTCTTTTAATTAATTTCTTGATTGCATTCCAATAGACCAATTTTTATTTTTACAAAATTCAATTGAAATTTGATATGAATTGGTTTGTCTATATGGTTGCAACACCACCGCCACTGCTTATCATCGTCATTAGTCTACTGCCACCATTGAAGAGGAAGATCAACAAACAGCAAAAACCCAATTCAGCATCAACACCCACCCTCCCTTCGAACTCGCACTTGGAAGGTTCGATTTCTGCCTCTCAATGTGTTCATACACTCAATGTGTGTCAATTGAAATTTGATATGAACTGGTTTGTCTATATGGTTGCAACATATCATCTAGTATCTAAAATATCGGTACCCAATTTCTTGCTCACTGTAATGGTGTTGAGTAAAATTTGTGACAATTTACACATACATATTATCTTTATGTGTACGAACTGGTTTGAGGAAGATGGTTGTGGTTTCCAGTGTCAATGTTGTAAAAATAAAAAAGAAATGATCGGATTCATCGAAGGAAAATGTCAAGCATCTTTTATGGTTGTTTAAATTCGACTCAACCAAGAGATCATCAGTTACACATTGGGGAGAATCGGTGGTCGTCACAAATCTAAGAAGTGCGACTCTGCCATTTGGCATTATATTACACTACTCTGCCTTTTCCCAATTTAACCTCTCAAGTTCGTTTTATTTAATCTACTATATTGTGCCTTCTTTTATTTATTTTGAATCCTTCAATGGCTTAATCTCTGTTTTACCTGTTTTGTACATTGTAGGAGATAGTGGTTTATTTATTTTTTATTTTTTTAATTAAGGTGTGAATTGTTTTGTTAATGTAATGTAAATAGGAAGGAGGGTTTCTTAAGTCAGAGATTGTCATTTCTTTTTGGTAATGAGGGTATACTGAGTGACCCCAAGGGGTCAAATGCTTCATGTGTTCTGTTTTGTTGATGTCAAAATGTAATTCTAGATAGAGAAAGAAGGTGAGAGTTTGTCAATGGATCACAATGTTTTATTGATTTTGCAATGAAAATTTGAGGAGAAACAGATTGTAATGATAGAAGAGATGATGTTTTACTGTTTGACAGTTTCAAAATAGAGAGAAAATGTTGGAGAGAGAGAGAGAGAGAGAGAGAGAGAGAGACAACTGTATTTATCTGTGACTCATGCAGGTTCATTGATTTTTGTAATATTCAAACTGTGAGAGAGACATAGTATAGAGATTGAAGAGACAATCTCATAGAGAACAACTGAGAGGGGTTTTCTTTCATCGTAACTAACTTTGCTTCATATGTTCTGTTTTAAATCATATATGCAACCTCGGCTGTTGTTTTTGTTTTTGGTTGGGTTTGTTCAGGTTGAATTTCCCTTGTTGCAATTCAAACGACGCTACTCCTCCTTCAGAGATAATCATCAGGTCCTCTCTCTCTATTTCTCTCTATGATATTTCATGGTTTTATCAATGTTTGATTGATTGAAAACCGAGGATTATTCTTTCATTTGTTGAATGTTGTGGCAGAGTATGTGTCTGATAGGGATAAAAGGCGTGAATTTGTATCTGGCTTCACCGGAAGTGCTGGTTAGTTAGCTCCATCCTAGAAAGCACGGATACAATATGATACGGATACAACAATACAACAAAACCTAAAAAAGTAGGAGACGGGTATGGTTAGGATACGTTTGTAAAAAATAAAAAATAAAAAAATTATTAGTAGTGAGTTACACACAAGTTCAAGAATGTTGAGAAACCGCATTAACTTTATAATGCAAAATACTAATCTTTAAGAATTAAGTACTAATTTAAGCCAGTAGCTAGTTTAGTTTTTAAATTTTCAATAGGTCTTGCAAATATTTTATTTCAATATCAAGTCTAATATGTTAATATTATAATATCAAAACAATCCACAACTTGACTCTATGCTTTTTCCTTTTGCATTAGTCAAAAATATTCTATGCAAGTTTAATTGCTTATTTATATATTGATATTTAATTTTACTATTATTATATTATCTTATTAATCCTTACTTCTATGTAGTTATAGGGAACATGCATGATACAATGAAGATATGCCAATTTGATTAATTCTATTACTTTAGCTTACTATATTATTTTTATAAAGAACCTAAGCAAAGTATTGTAAAAATATTCTATTTATCCTCGCAATTATATTATATTACGATGTTATGTAAGAAATGATACAATTCTAATTTCATAAAAGGAGTAATACGTGACTTGGAGCATTTGATACTTCAAAATTAATTAAGAAGTATCCGATAATATGTGACTTGGAGCATCCGATAATATGTGACTTGGAGCATCCGATACTTCAAAACTAAGTATCCGATATTTTAAAATTAATTAAGAAGTATCCGATACTTTTAATAAGTATTTGATACATATTCGTAAGTATTCATGGAGATACGTTTTCCTATTTGAAGTATCAATGCTTCACAGGCTCCATTTTATTTCTTTTTATTGATTACTATGAGGTCAATAGATTATGTTTATTTAATTGTTTATATAATTTTAGGCACCAGAATTTGGTGGTGTTGATCAAATTGAAATTTGGAAAATGTATTTTTTAATCTGAAATAATACTCAAAGTGTGTACAAAAAGTCTTCAGTGTTGAATTTAATCAAGCTATTTGATATGTTTATTAGAAGGTAAGTTTGAAATTTATTTTCTATATATATATTTTTGTTGTTTACGTGTTGGGTTGGTAGCAACATGGCGGTAATGGCAATGTGCTGGCAATGTGCTGGGTAGACTTAGTGGTGACAATTGTGGTGGTGGAAATGGTGGCAGCGGTGACATGACGGTAGTGGTGATGTCAGTGACATTGGCATGGTATTTGAGGGGCAGCATGGTGACAATGTTGATGTGGTGGTGCTGATGGCGGTTGTGTGGCAGTATGGTAATGGTATGGTAGGTGATGGTGGTGGTAGCGGCGGCGGCAGCAATGTGGTGGCAGAAATGGTGGCAGTAGTGTAGAGTGACAATGGTGGTGATGATACACTTTAACGATAATATAAGCATAAAAATTAAAAATTCAGCATTCAACATCAAGTAAGAAATTTTTGGCTTAAAATTTAAGTTTTTTTTTTAATAGGTTAAAATTTTAAGTGATGTGAATTATGGTTATCAAATAGACTTAATGTGTGGAATTGAGTTATTATTCAATTTGTTTATTAGATTATAACTGCATGTTAAATCCCAACCAAACAATAGCTTAAATTTATTATTATTTTTTTTCAGTGAGAAAACGTACCTCAAACTTTATTTTTTTGGTGAGAAAACATACCTTGAACTCTAAGCTTGTTTGGTTTCGTTTTTCTGAAAACAGTTTTCAGAAAATTCTACTTTCTTATTTTCTGTATTTTTTTGTTTATAATGAATTTTTTTAATATTTTAAGCAATTTTTTTAATTTTTAGATATACCTAACATAAATATACCTAAAAAGTAAAAAATTTGTGAAAATAATTTTTAGATATACCTAACATAAATATACCTAAAAAGTAAAAAATTTGTGAAAAAAATCTTTTAAAAATTCACTAAATACCAAAAATACAAAAAAATATCAGAATTCAGTACATTTTTTATGTTTTTATGTATTTATTAATTTTTTAAAATATTTTTTTACAAATTTTTTACTTTTTAGATACATCTAAGTGAGGTGCATCCAAAAAACTAAAAAAAATGTTTAAAATTTTAAAAATATTCACTAAAAACAAAAAAATACAAAAACCAAAAAACGCAGTTTTCAAAAAATTTAATCTAGAAAACTTAAACCAAACACACTGATTGTTCATTTGTGAGGAATTTGCCTCTGTTAAAATGAGTCATTGGTTATCATTGGGAAGTTATAGTCTTAAATTTTAAAGGGATCTTTTGTTGAATGAATGAATGATGACGCCATGCTTTTGTTTTTGAGCGCCAGCCAGCCACATTATGGGTACATTGAAATGGTGCTTTTATGCTTTTTTCACCTTTTAGGGGAATCTTCCATTACTTTGGTATTGGAATGTAGTTTATATCTTTTGTTGTGTGAACAATGTAGGTTTATGCGCCTGCTTTTAGGGAAATCTTCTATTACCTTGGTACTGGATTATATCTTTTGCGTGCGATCAATGTAGGTTTTATGTGCCTCTCTATGGAGTTATCCTATGTGCCTGTTTGGTGCAGCTTAAAAGCTGCTTATTTCAGCTTTCAGCTAAATTTAAGCTATTTTAATGTGTTTGGTTTAGCTTATAGCTTATAGTTTATACCTTTTTGAAGTCAGAAATCAGTTTATTCTTTGAGTGGGGCAGGAGATGCTTAATTTATAAGTCAGAAATCAGCTTATGTTCATAGTTATAAGCTATAAGCTGTTTAGGCATAAGCTATAAGTATTTTCCCACAGCTCTACCAAACAGGGCTTATATGTTTCCATCGTACAAAATGGCAGCCTTATTTTCTATGCAGCATATTGACATGTTAATGATTCAAACCTTTGATTAATCAATATTAGTTTTGTAAGGTTACTGAAGCTAAATTCCATTCAGGTTTGGCACTTATTACAAGGAATGAAGCACTACTCTGGACCGATGGGAGGTACTTCTTGCAGGCAGCACTGGAGTTAAGTGACCAGTGGAAGCTCATGCGCATGGGAGGAGACCCAGTTGTGGATGTCTGGATGGTAGATGTGAGCCACCTTTCTTTCTAAATTTTTTTATACGGTTATTTACTGAGGTTAATAACTTTCTAAGCATTTGTTTTATTTTAGATCATGCTTCACCAAGTTAACATACTTCCAAATAATTATTTGAGATGTTTACAAACCAACGCTTTTTAATGTGTTTTAATGAATTTTCATTAATTGGGTTATGACTCCCATTCGAAGCTCAAACTTGAGCAACAATGGAGTTCAAATAGGAAGAGAGAGACGTAGAGGAAAAAGAGTGACAGAGCTCTCTACCCCCAAAAAAAAAAACAAAAGCAAAAAAAAGTAGAAGAAATGAAAAAGTAGCTTTGGTTAAATAATTGCATAGGATTGTTTAAATAGTTGTTATTATATTAATAATTTATTTCTTTTATTAAAAAAATAAAAAATATTAAGTAGCTTTGGTTATTCAGATATATATTTATTGAGAAACCTAACATCATGCTATGAAGCACGGACACGGACACGGACACGGACACTGATACGGACACGGGACACGGCAATTTTCAAAAAAGGGGGACACGGACACGGACACGGCGAGGGACACGGCGAATATTTTTTTTTTTTTAATATATATATTTGTATGTGTTATGTAAATTAACAAACACTAACATAGTAACCATTAATTCAATAAATATAAGAGAGGCAAAAGATTCAACATCCAACATCCAACATCTTGAAATAAATATAAGGGGAAAACATCCAACATCCAACAATATTTGTCACAAAAGCACTAAATAAGAGGCAAAGAAGAAGGAAAAAAAAAAGAAAAGAAAAGAAAAGAAGTAGGCCTTTCAAAACTTCAAGTAGATCCAATTTCTTGCACGTCTTCATCATCATTAGCATCACCACCTTTTTCTTCATTTGCACCTCCATCATCGGTAAACAACACAACCTCCATCTCAGGTTCATCAAGTGATAGATTTGCAACCTCAAGCATCCCAACATCATCAAATGTATCAAATGTGTCGCCCGCAATATCTCATAACTTGGTCTCTCCTTCAAGGTATTGTGGGGTTCTCCTTGATAAAAGACGGAGGTTGCTATAAACAAAAACCAAGTCCTTTGCACGTTGGGGTGTCATCTTGTTTCTTTTCATTGAATGGATAAAAGAGTATATACTCCAATTCCTCTCAGCACATGATGAAGAAGAAGGTTGCACAAGTAGCTTTAAAGCCAAACATTGAAGAGTGGGTGCAGAGGCACCATGAACAACCCACCAACTATGAGGATCCATATCACATCTATCTCCAATGGAATCAATGTCAGCAAATGGCCCCTCTTTTGTTGAGAACTTAGCATACTCTAAATTTGCTTTAGTGCGCTCCATTGGATCATCAAAGAACTTTTTCAAGCACTTTTTTCTCTAAAGACAAACCTCCTCATCCCTATGTGGGGGAATTCAGCTTGGATCCTCATGAAGCCACACATCACTATAATACCTAAAATGAAAAAAAAAATACTACTCATTATAAATGTGAAAGAATAATATTAAACTTAAATTAATAAAAATAGCAAATTGTGTTGTAATCACCTTGGATTCAATGAGTGTGCCAAGCAATGAAGTGGTGTGTTGTTCTTGTTCCACCGGTCTACAAGAATCTGATGTACTACATTATAGAATGTAGACTCGTCTTCTAGTCGCTTTCCTTCATGCTTATATATCACCATCTTCACTTTTTCTATCATTGTATCCCACATGTCATACAGTAAGTGAAGAGAAGGTCTATCGATGTCACATACTCTAATCATGTCATAAATAGGAGCAGTAAAGGAAAGTATGTAGTTGACTTGATTCCACCAAAAGTCATCTAACAACTTATCTTTCACAAACTTGGCCTTACCAATATCATCATCCCTATAACAACTCCATTTGTCACTGATTACCATTGTTTGGAGACCTTGCTTTATCAATTTGACCCTCTTAAGCATGACAATGGAAGAAGCAAAGCGTGTCTCGGCAACTGAAAGAAGTTTCAAACTCACAAACTCATTATACATTGCCAACCTCATGGAATGATTACAAATAAAATTCTTAATCATCATCACATCACCCACAATCTCACTAATCCAATTACACTCTTCAAATGCAACTGAATTATTTTCCACATTCTTGGCAGCACAAATATTCTTCAAGGCAAGATTGAGGGTGTGCACAACACAAGGAGTCCAAAAGATGTGAGGAAATTGTGCTTCAATTAGGTGCCCTGCCGCCTTGCAATTTGTGGCATTATCTGTAATGACTTGAACCACATTTTTAGGCGCAACCTCCATAATTACTTCCTTCATCAAGTTTGAAATAAAATACTTGTCTTTTGTTTCCCCTGAACAATCAACTGCTTTAAGAAACATGGGCCCACCTCCCGTAACAGCCATAAAATTTATTAATGGCCTTCGTTGGGAATCACTCCATCCATCACTGACTATACTCACACCCTTCTCTCTCTATGTGCCTCGAATAGGGTCTAACAATCTATCAATGTTTGTCTTTTCTTTTTGAAGCAATGTAGTTCTCAACATATTATACCTAGGTGGTACATATCCTTGTATGTTGTTATTTGCAGCAAAAGTAAATGCACTAACATAGTAAGGATTTCTTGCCAAATGAAATGGCCAGCCTGCTGAATAAAACATTCTAGCTATCTCACTATTTAGTCATTCACGAGCCCCAATGTTAAATGCTTTCAGAACAGGGTTATCACTACTTCCACTCCCTATGGCAGTTGACCTCTTCCTTTTTGATCCATACATCTCCTCTGGTTCATTAAAAACATAAACCTAATGATGCACTTGAACTAGGAGGAGGCAATGGGACTTTCTTCAACCTAGAGTTTTTCAATTTCAACTCTGCTTCTGCAATTACTCTCTCAAAATCAGCTTTATCCTTACTTGTTACTTTTGGACACACTTCAATCCCCTGATTTTTAATTTGCATCAAATGGGTTTTTACCCTAGTGTATGAACCTTTACGTGTAACCCGACAAAAATTACATTGAAAAGTATAATTTCCCCCTCTTGCACCAGATTTTTCTAATCTAGTCACATATTTCCACAGTGGCTTATCATCTTCAGCATCAAAGGCAGATTGTGTGTTATTGGCAGAATTTGAACTAGACATTTTTCCTATAAATTAACATTAACATTAGAAGGATAAAAAATAAAAAATAAAAAATTAAAAAAAAGAGTTTACATACTGTATATATGTATATATATAAACCTATAATTATTATTTTTTAAATACAATTTTATATATAGACACATAAAAGTCTTACCAAAAAAAATTTTTTTTTTTACGGTTTTTAATATATACTCATAAAAATCTTACAGTTTTAAATACAGTTTTTTTAACATATAATTAAACAAAAAAAAGGTCTTATATATGTAAATGTATAAACAAATAAAAATAAAAGCAAAAATAAAAATAAAAAAGTCTGGTCAAACGTATAAAAAAAAAAGAAAAAAAAGAAAAAAAAAGAAGACAGTTCAGTTCAGTCGAACCGAAGCAGAGCAGAGAGAGAGAGAGAGCGAAAGAGAAAGAGACAGGCGAGAGAGGGGCTTACCTTCGAAGACGACTAGATCGAAGGTCGAAGACGCTGGATCGACTGGAACAGAGACACAGACGACTGGATCGAAGGTCTACGATCGACTTCGGAGGGCTTCGATCGACTTCGGAGGGCTGCGACTGAGAGAGAGAGCTTCGATCGACTTCAGAGGGCTTCGACTGAGAGAGAGGAGGGCTTCGACTTCGACTGAGAGAGAGGAGGGCTTAGCAGGTCTGATTTTACTCTTTTACCTCCTCAGTTGTTCGATTAGGGCTTTGCCCGTTAGTTTTTTTTTTTTTTTAAAAAGTACAAAAAAAGGGAGACAAAAAATTAAAAAAAAAAAAAAAAGCCCTGCCGTGTCCCATGTCGTGTCCAGATATGGACATGCGTGTCCCTGCCGTGTCCCTGCCGTGTCCCCTTCCAAAAAAATTATTAAATTAAAGGGACATACGTGTCCTCGGCGTGTCCCCGTGTCCCCGGCGTGTCCGCGTGTCGGACACTGCCACGGCACCATTTTTGGAGTGTCCATGCTTCATAGACATCATGAAAAAAAAAAAAATTGGTTCTATTAAATTTTTAGTAACAAATTAAATAAATTATATTTAATTACATTTTGTTTTCATTATTATTTACACCATGCCTTTAAGCACAGGGTACATACACTAGGGGAAGTTGTTATTTTATTTCTGTAGAGCATGTGGTACAAGCAAAATTGTTACAAATTTTTTAAGAAGAAGAATATCTTTATCAAAAAATGCTACAGACTCCATAAATTTAAACATAATATGTATACATTACAATTATATTCTAATCCTAAGATTGTTTACATCGTGCCTTACGCTAGTTTATAGTATAAACCAGGATTATTTTTAAAAATGTATTAAAATGTATTAAGGATACATTTAATTTTAATGATCTAGATCAATCCTAAATATTGATATATCAATAGATGATTCTTGCCCAAACAATTCTCCCACCTTCCCACCTACCCACGTCTCCTCCCCACCTTCCCTCTTTATCTCTCTCTTCCTCTCTGTTCTTCTTCTTGATCAGTTGAAATCTAATTTGGGTTGAAGTCATTGATCTGTTTTGTTGTGTTTTTTCAATATGGGTCATGATTTGTTAGCAATCACCTTGTGTTGCCGTCGTCGCCGTCGCCTCCAACGTCTTTGGCTCTTGGGTTTCAGTTCCATATGACGGACTAGGAGCTTGTGCAGTACTACCTCAAGCGTAAGGCCTCTGGGAAGCCATTCCACTTCGATGTCGTCTCGGAAATCGATGTCTACAAATCTGAGCCATTGGAGCTCTCCGGTACCTCTCTCCCTCCCTCCCTCTCTCTCTATATATATATATAGATATAATTTTAGTTGGATAAATTGTTGGTTGATTCTGCTCTCCTTTCGCCATCCTCTTTCATCTCTCTCCTCTTGCGATGACCGCCATCGAGCATTGATCGTCTCACCGTCTAGGTTTTGCTTTAAAGTTAATGATTTTGGTGTAAACTATTTTAATTTGTTGTGGTTGGAGTGGTTGTGATTTCTGAAATGGGTTTGATAGGTTTTGATTTCTGAAATTTAAAATGGATTTGCGGGGTTTTAATGCGCATATATTCGTAGAAATCTACAGAAATTTGAAGTCGTTTCGCTCGAGACATTATCCCCGGGAACAAGTTTTCCAAGATCAACGCTTTCCGGCTCATCCCGGAGAGTTTACTCTCTCTGTCTCTCTAGAAATTTATATAAATATATAAGTTTGTGAGTAGAGACCACCATCTACTCCTTACATCCAACAAATGGTATGCTCTCTCTCTGTCTCTCTTATTTTGATTTCTATGGGTATCTATGAAAAGCCATGAAATTATTGTTGTATTTTTTTAATCAAAATCAGACCAAATTGAAACTGTATTTTTTGTATGTGTTGAAAAAATTAAACATGTTTGATTTCTGAAATGTGAAATGAGTTTCATTTTAAAATGTGTTTTGATTTTTGAAATTGGTTTAATTTTTAGAAATCTGAAATGTGTTCGATATCTGAAATTTGAAATCTGAAATGGGTTTGATTTTATCTTGATTCTATTGCATTTTAAATTCAACCCATTTGTTTGAATGTGATGTATATATATATATATATATATAAATGCTTCAAGTTTTTTATTTTTAATTTTAGTTGGATAAATTGTTGTTTGTTGGTGGAATTGAGGCCTTGTGGGTTTAAATTGATGTTTTTGTTTATCATCATTTCTATTTATGTATCTTGATGTGTTAAACTTTAGTAGTCTGGGTTTGAGTTGTTTGAAGTGTGATAAATTGCCAGTTTTGTTTGTGCATATCGGTTCCAATTTTGTCATTTCTGTTACATTTGTGTTTGTGTTCATAAAATTAATTCAAATACTTGGGGAGAAAGTTTGTAATCACTAGGTTTGTGCTTATTTATGTGAGAATATTTATTTTATCTTTCCAGTTCTATTTGTCCCTTTTTTGATGAATTTCTTGACCCACAACAACGGTGGAAACAACGTAGAGAATACCCTAAAAGCTCCATGGTCATCTTCTCCATTTATTCATCAGATCCAAAGCTCACAGACCTGTGGGACTAAAGGAGGGGTGGATTCAGCAAAGGTATTCTCAGCTTTTAAAATTTTATTTTTTATTTTTTATTTTTACATAGCCGTCTTGTTTGTTTTTTTTTGGACAGAGGATATTCACTCTCTTCAATTACATTGGTGGATGGATGTTGTTGTGGTCTTTACTTTATTGTTTTACCTTTTTTTATGTTTCTGATATACTAGGTGTGGTGGATTTTATTTTATTTATTTTATTTTCTTTGTTTTTATTGGGTTGAATTTGTATTTATTTTTTACCATTAATTTTGTTTTCAAAAAATATTTAATGATCATGATTACTCCATTCAAGGTGGTTTTTTTTTTTCCAATTTCATGGTGTGTGTTCATCTGAGCAAACCAAATGGATAGTTGGGGTTATTTGATCTTTTATTTTTATTTTTTATCAGTTGTTGTTCATAGCATTTCAATGCACAATGTTAACTTATTAATATTCTTTAATATGATGCTTGGCTTTTATTGGGGATTAAATTGTTCAATTTGTTTTTAGTTTACGATTTTTTTTTTTGTTATAAATTTAATAGTATCATCTCTGTCTTGAGGAAATAGTCTTTGTTTGAGAAGAGAGAGGAATGGGGGATATTAGTCGGTGTGAGAGAGAGATAGTTGAGAAGATTAATGTTTGTCTTTTGGGGGGAGAGATAGAGGTAATGGAGAAGAGGAGAGCGAGAGCTTGGGTGAGAAAATTGAGGAGAGATTGCAATTTGGGAGAAGTGCAACTTATCTTGAGAAGATTTTTTTATTAAAAATATCAGAAATACATGTTTCTAAAAAAGCACAACCGCACAACTTCACTTGTGATTGGTTTAGGAAGGAAAGAAAAAAATAAAAATATATGATTGGTTAACATCATTTTAAGAGTCATGGGGGGTTTTGAGGGTTCGAAGCATTTTTGTAAAAATATAATAGTGGGGATTGGGTTAAGATAAAGGTAATAGCTTTAGCTGTTTTAAGTTATCAATGCTCTGATAATAAAATATATTTTTTAAGTGTATATATATTTGCATATGATGGTTATAATGATTCATTATAGCTATAAAATAAAAAATATTTTTTTTCTGTGGTGTTTTGCGAGTGGTTGGCGTGCGTGGAATAGAACCACTTTTATGTGTGTATAGGTGAATAGATATATGTGTATGGTGTATATTTTACATCCAACTTTAAGTGTGGGGAGCATAATTTTTTTAATTCTCAAGGAGAATGGTTAGTTTAATATTGTTTTTTGTTTTTTTAATGTGATGAAGTTTGGATTTGTTTAATGTGAGATTGAAGTGAGAATCAGACCCATTTGTTTAAGTGCAATATGCTTTGATTTTAGAGCATGTGAGAGGGAGAGAAGTTTGAAAATATATCAAATTCTATGTTAAAAAAGAGAGAAAAGAAGAGATAGACATGCCCCAAAGCTGCCACTATTCAACATTTCGGTCGGCGAGCAGACAAAGAGGTAAGTTCTCAATTTTTTTTTTTATAAAAAAATACACTCTAATTAAAAATATATCAAATTCTATATTAAAAAATAATAGTGGTACATAGCATTTTTTTAATGTATAGATGGATGTATTTTTAATTTTCAAAAGTGAGAGAGGGAAAGAGAGCGAGAAATCCATATTATTCCCCCCCCCCCCCCCCCCAAAAAAAAAAAAACAAAACAAAAATTTTTTAAAAAAAAAAAAAAAAAAAAAAAAAATTATTTAAAAAGTATTTGCCGAATCATTTTACTTCTTTTTTTTTTTGTTAACAGAACTATTGTATTCTCCGCAGTGACAAAACCCATGAGATTTATTCTTACTATAAAATATTTTTTTTTTTAATTTTTACTTTAATTTTATTGGGTGCATTTTTATATGAGTAATTTTACAAAATTCATTTGAAAGTCGAAACTTTATATGTATTTATATTTTGACTTCAAATTTTTAACAATAAATTTGATAAATTATATTTTAATTTAATAATTTTATTTTAGGCACGGTCATACATTAGTAAATAAATAAAGAAAAAGAAATTGAAAAGCAGAGAGTGGTCAAGGAGGCTGGCAGCTATGTGCTGTCGGCCACGTTTGCTGGCAAGAATTTTTTTTTTTTTTTTTCCCCTTAATACCGGAAGAAGGATGGGAAATAATAAAAAATTTGAAATGTCAAAATTAAACTTTTTAACTTATTTTGAATCATATAATTTTTCATATTTTTTTTTAAAAAAAGTCAAAAAAAAGGTTAAAAAATTAATTTTTAATCATTTTCTCAAAACATTCCAATAATAATAATAATGAGCTGGAGAGATAAACGCGATATATATTTCATTTGTTTGGCCGTTTCAGCAGTCGGATTGGAGTAGGATGGCTGTGGATTATGTCCATAGCATATTTGGTGATAATTTGGAAGGTTGGCTTCATAGTCTGAGCGGCCTAGGTAATTAGCTTGGCGGATTGAGTTTATCCGGTTGTACGTCCAGACGTTTGGAATAGTGAATTTTTTTATTTATTTTTATTTTATTTTTATGTGCGCAATTGCAACCTATTATTTTTAAAAATATATATTTATTTTGAATATTTCTTTAAAATCAGGAACAGTGATTTTTTAAAATTATTTTTTGCAATTGCAACTTGTTATTTTAAAAATAAAATTTTATATTTGTTTTAAATCTTTTTTTAATATCTACTCTATCAGTGTAAGGTAACGGAAAATCATTTTGGGATTTTTCACATTTTGGGATTTAAAGTGAAAAATGTGTGAAACTTTGAGATTTTTTTTTGTAATTAACCCTAATATTTAAAAAAAAAATTGGTGTGTTTATGTATAACTTGCATTCTTTATTGTATGTGTGTGTTTGTATATATGGTGAAATTTTTTTATTCAAATTTTGACTCATCTGATGATAAAATTTTAATGGATTAATGTTATTTTTAATCATCAAAATTAGGACGGAATCAAAATTTTATCATCAAAGGAGCCAAAATTTGAATAAATTTATTTTACTATATATACAAGCAAACATATACATATACAATAAGATATGTAAATTATATATATATATATATATATATAATAAATATTAGGATTAATTACAAAAAAAAAAAATTCAAGGTTTTATTCATTTTTTTTCTTTAAATCCTAATATTTTTCACTTTAAATCTTAAAATGATTCCAAAGACAAAGATGGATAGAAGGGGCACATTAAAACACAAATAGAACTCCCGAATTTAATTTGTTAAAATTGAAAAACTTGAGATTTAAAATGAAAACACGTAAAATTTTGAGGCTATTTTTGTGATTAACCTTTTTTCTTGTTCTTTTTGATGTCACAAACACAACATCAATATAAGGCGTGAAGATAGCGTGAAAATTATAATGGTCGGTCCCACACGAGAACAAGAAAGTAGTGACAAAACAATTATCAACACAAAAAATAAAAAAAAACCATTAAACAAGTCTCTCTTTTAAAAATCATAGCAATGGTGTCTATTTTATTTGTGGCCCATAATCTTTCATTGTAATTTCTCAGCATTTCTCTATATTTCACTAGCAAATCCTCAAGTTCGATTTTTTTTTTTATTTATATTTTCAGATAATTAACATTAAATATACAGAGAGAAATAACAAAGCAATTACTAATAAACCAAAAAAAAAAAAAAATAATGAAAAAAAACATTATGCAGTCTCTCCCCTAGAAATCATGTATGTGGCCATAACCTTTCTTTGCATTTTCTCAATCATTTCTCCACATGTCACAAACAAATTCTTATGTTTTTAATAGAGGAAGACTAGGCATAATAATAATAAAGATATTTGTTAAGTTAATGTGAAACAAAAAAAATGTCTGATTATATTTTTATTTTCAATTATGTTGATAAAGAATATTCAATTAATACTAATATTATTTACTTTTTTGTGTTGGTATAAATTAAAATTTAAAATTTTATTTTTGGCGAAAAGTTACTTGTATTTTTGTCCCTTAAAATTTAAATTCTAGATTTGTTCCTGATGAAAGATCCTATTAAATAATTAAATTTTTGTTTTGTAAAAAAAAAATGAAAATCGGAACTTGATATGAAAATTTTGTTTAATAAATTGTTTTTATAATTACTTTTGGGAACAATCCTTTTTTATAGTGAAATTAAAAGATCCTTTCAATAAAAAAATGTGTAAACATTTACACTTTCTTATTTTGAAAATACAAAATAATTTGATAAAAATTTGTGAATTTTGACACCTTTTCCCACAAAGATTAATACGAAACTCATCTACAAAAATTCCATAGAGAAAGAGGAAGGGGAGAAACATTTCATTCACAAAAATGAGTAATTGGCATGATATGCTTGTGTGTGTGTGATGTGAGACAAGCCTCATGCACACCAAACAAACACCATTACTCATTACAATAAGAAAATAAACGTACACAAATTTTAGGATAAATTATCAATAAATCTTAATAGTTGTACTTAATTCTTATCAAGTTTTATTGAAAGTAAATTATAGTAGAATAGTCGCTAAAAATAATTTTTTTGTCACAATTTTTATAAATTGTAACTAAAATTTATAATTAGTGACTTTTTTTGTGATAAATTTTTTAAATTGTAGTTGAAATTTAAAAATTAGTGACTTTGTTGGTGATAATTTTTTTAAACTGACGTTAAAACTTATAGTTACTGACATTTTTTGTGACAAAATTTTTAAATTGTCGCCGAAAACTAAGAATTAGTAAATTTTTTTAATAGTATTTGATAAAAAAGTCAGTAATTATCATAGAAACTATTGGACAATATCCATTCATTAGGATCAACACGTAAGTCCTCCAAAATTTTAATCACTAGTTTTTATAGTTTAGTTTTGGTGTCATTTCGATCTTTGTAATTTTAATTAATTCAATTTCAATCTTAATTTTTTTAATTATTTCAATTTAACCTAATTAACTGCAATCATTAAGTGTTTTTTATTTTTTTTATTTTTTATTTTTTTTAATGAAAAGTGCGCACATGAGTAGCATGAGTTACGCTTTTAAAAACAAAATTATAAATTTTTTTAACTAATTGAATCAATCAATCATCTCAACAACAATTTTACTTCAAAAATAATATTTTTTCCCTCAACTTTTTAGACTAAAAAGTCAAAAAATATACTTATTTATGACATCTCAAACAACTCCTAATTGAAGTTATTAATTGAATCAAATTAATATAAAATTTAAAATTAAAGTCGATATTAAATTAATTAAAAATGTGAGAATCAAAATGATATATGAGACAAAATAGAAAAACTTCCAATTTAATTTACCCGACAAACATTACCACTTTTCCTATTTTAATTCCACGGAAGATCCAAGGCTACCCTGTCGGCAAGCCATCAACTTGCAACCTAAAACAAAAAAATAAAACAAACAACAAAATCAGATCAAGGCCCAAAAAAAAAAAAAAAACCAAAAAAAAAAAAAAAAAAGCTATGGTGGAAAAGAATATATATGTATATATATATTTATGATTGCCAGGCAAATCTTCACAAAAATAATAAAAAATAAAAATTTTAATCTTTAATCTGTATTGAAGAATGTTGTTCGGACTCATAAAATTTGTTACAATTTTTATTTTGATAATTTATACTGTTCGTTTTGTATTTTAAATTTTTCATTATTTAGTGTTTTTAGAGTACTACTCCACATTATTTATGTTAAAATAATTGTCCAATTATCTCTTATAAAAGAGAAAAAATTTAATTAAATTGTAAATTAAATCATTGATCTCTGTAATTTAAGTAAAGTGTCATTTTAATCATTGTAATTTTAATTTGAACATTTTAATCATTACATTTTAAGTTTTGATCTTTATAATTTAAGTAAAGTGTCATTTTAATCATTGTAATTTTAATTTGAACATTTTAATCGTTACATTTTAAGTTTTGTTACAAAATGATCTCTCCTTCAAATGTTGTAACAATTGGAAAAAAAAAATTAAGTGCAAAATTAAAATAATCAAAATAAAATTTAAAACAAATTATAAAGACAAACAATATAATAAATATATTACACCCATAATCTTTATAATTAATTTTAAATTTCACCTTCATACCCTTTTTATTTTACTCTTTCATTTTTTGAATTTATATGTTGTTTTCGCAGAAGGGCCGGGAGCCAATGAAAGAAGACGCCATTTTTGACTTTTGTCAGCACTCAATTTATTCTTCTTTACACAAAAATATCAATTTTTGAGACTGCTAAAGCCTTTTTCACTCAAGAAAACTCAACAACCTCCCTCTTTGCTTTTGCTTCTGATCTGTAATTGGAAACAATGCCTATAGCAGAGATCTTTCTCTCTGCCTTCGTCAAATTGCTGTTTGAGAAGATGTCCTCTTTTGCCTCCTCCAAATTACCCACCTTTGAAGGTATTGCTGTCCAGCTCACCAATTGGACCAGTATGCTGTCTCAAATTCAAGCTCTTCTGATTGACGCGGAGGACAAGCAACTGACCGATCCAGCCGTGAACCTGTGGCTCGACGATCTCCAGGATCTGGCATATGATTTGGATGATTTAGTGGATGAGTTTGCCACCGAAGCTTTGCGACAGAATCTCAAGGCAAAGCCGCCCCAACCTAGTTCCAGCAAGGTATGGAATCCCATCCTTAATTTCAAGCCAGAAGATGTTATGTTTAATCTCAAAATGAGGTCCAAGATTGAGGAGATCAATACCAGATTACGCACTAGTTTTGATCGATCTTCGCAACTTAATTTGGTTAAGATTGTTGGAACCACCACACCTACTAAGACTTGGCAAAGAACAGAGTCTACATCTTTATTTGATGAACCTCGCATTTACGGCCGAGAACACGATCAGAGTAAGATAATTGAGTTGCTCGTAAAGGGGGATGAATCAAGTCATAACAACGTTGGTGTAATTCCCATTGTGGGTATGGGTGGGATTGGCAAGACCACCCTCGCTCAGATGGTATACAAGGATGAAACCGTGAAGGAGTATTTCAATCTGAGAGCATGGGTCTGTGTGTCAAATGAGTTTGACATTATGAAAATAACAAAATCTATTTATGATTCAATTACTTCTCAAACACATAGTTTTAATAACTTGAATCAAGCTCAAGTTGAACTACAGAAGGCTTTGGCTGGAAGGAAGTTCTTAATTATTCTAGACGATGTCTGGAACGAAGATTACAATGCTTGGAATGTTTTGAAGAAACCTTTTAATGATGGAGCCCAAGGGAGTAGAGTCATGGTGACAACACGTAACAGCGACATTGCAACAATGATGGCAACTGTTGAACTTCATCACGTTAAGATCCTATCAGATGAGGATTGTTGGTCATTGTTTGCACAACATGCCTTTGCGAATACAAGTATTGATGCAAATCCAAATTTGGTATCAATTGGGAAAAAAATTGTGGAGAAATGTAAAGGTTTGCCTCTTGCTGCTAGGACACTTGGTGGCCTTTTACGCAACAAAGTACGAAATGAGGAATGGGTAAATGTATTGCGTAGTAAAATATGGGATTTACCACACAAAAAAAATGACATCCTTCCTGCTTTGAGATTAAGCTACCATGATCTTCCTTCGCATTTAAAGCAGTGCTTTGCATATTGTTCAATAATACCCAACGACTATGAATTTGAGGAAGAGGAGTTAGTCTTGTTGTGGATGGCAGAGGGCTTCATTCAGCAACAAAGAGAGAAGCAAATGGAAGATGTAGGAGGTGAGTACTTTCGGGAATTGTTGTCAAGGTCTTTTTTCCAACCATCAAGTACCAGTAAAAGCTCTAAATTTGTGATGCATGACCTCATCAATGATTTGGCTCAAGTAGTTGCAAGAGAAACTTGTTTTAGATTGGAGGATAGATTGAAATATCCGGAGCAGTGCAAGAATATAAAGAAAGCTCGACATTCATCTTACATGCAGGAGTACCATGAGGGTATGAAAAAATTTGAGATCTTTGACAAAGCCATGCATTTACGGACCTTCTTATCAATTAACTCACCATATGGTCATAATTGTTATTTGGCAAGCAATGTTTCCCTTAATCTATTGCCGAAGCTAAGACGCTTGAGGGTGCTCAATATGAGTAGATATTCCATCACAGAAGTTCCAAATTCGGTTGGAGATTTGAAACATTTGCGGTACCTTAACCTTTCCAACACTGATATTAAAGAATTACCTAAATCATTAGGGTCTCTCTACAATTTACAAACGTTGATGTTAAGAGAATGTCAATATCTAAAAAAGTTGACAACAGACTTGGGAAACCTAATTGACCTACGTCATCTCGATACTACAAATGCACATTCCTTAGAAGAAATGCCACTGGGAATATGTAAGTTGGCTAGTCTTCAAACACTGTCCAATTTCATTGTTACTAAAAACAATGGGCATCAGTTAAGAGAGTTGGGGAACTTAAATTATCTTCGGGGGAAGTTTTGCCTATCTGGGTTACAGAATGTGGTGGTTCCATTAGATGCAAGGAAGGCGAATTTAAATGATAAGAAGGGGTTAGATGTGTTATCAATGAAATGGAGTGTTAACTCAGATGATTCACGAGATGGAAGAGTTGAAACTGAAGTGCTTGACATGCTACAACCTCACAAGAATTTAAAAGAGCTGCATATCAATGGCTATCTTGGTACAAGATTTCCGACTTGGATAGGAGATCCTCTGTTCTCCAATATGGCTGACCTACATTTAGATAATTGTGGAAATTGTGCATTCTTGCCACCACTTGGACAACTACCCTCCCTCAAAAAGCTCTACATTAAAGGAATGAGGGTACTAAAGCATGTTGGTTGTGAGTTCTACGGGCAAGGTGGTGTTCAACCTTTTCCGTTACTGGAGACTCTAAGCTTTGAGAATATGCCAGAATGGGAGGATTGGTATACTTTTGAAGATCACAAGGAAGTTCAACCATTCACTCGTGTCAAGTATCTCTCCATAATAGAATGTCCCAAACTTCTTAAAATGTTGCCTACTGATCTACCTTGTTTGAATAATCTAGAGATTAGGGACTGCCCCAAACTCTGTGGGGTGATGCCCAAGGATCTACCTTGTTTGAATAATCTAAAGATTAGGGACTGCCCCAAACTCTGCGGGATGATGCCCAAGGATCTACGTTGTTTGAATAATCTAGAGATTTCAGAGTGCCCACAATTCCTAGTTGAAGGTTCCAGCATTAGCCTCCCGTCACTCACCTCGATAGCTATGAATGACGTTCCTCTAACAAGCCTTGAAGCGGTCCTTGAGATGAGGAGTATGGTTGATGATGAAGTGATATCGGCAAATGCAAAGTCTAAGCATCCGAGTTCAACAACTTCCTTGAGCATTGGGATGATTAAGAAACTCGAGCTCTTGCCGAAATGGGTTACTCATGGGCTGATGGAAGTCGAGGAATTGAACATTAGAAGGTGTGAAGAACTCAAGACACTGTGGAAGAATGAGGCGAGAGTGCAACACAACCTCCCTGCATTCCGACGTTTGAGAATTGAAGACTGCCCCCAGCTTGTTTCATTGTTTGAAGAAGAATGGGTTACTCATGGGCTGATGGAAGTCGAGGAATTGAACATTAGAAGGTGTAAAGAACTCAAGACACTCTGGAAGAATGAGGCGAGAGTGCAACACAGCCTCCCTGCATTCCGACGTTTGGAAATTGAAGACTGCCCCCAGCTAGTTTCATTGTTTGAAGAAGATGAGGATGAAGAAAATGAAGGGCAACATCAGCAACAACAACAAGAGGGACCCCCTAGCATAGTGAGGCTTGAGCATCTAACAATAATTAATTGTGAAAAGGTGCTGGATAAACTGCCACGGCTGCTACATACGTTCACTTTTCTTCGAGAGTTGTATGTCTCTATGTGTCCAAGTCTCGGCTCTTTTCCGGAGACAGGTTTTCCCAGCACGCTGAAAAATCTCGAGATACGTGATTGTGAGGCTCTGCAATCCTTATTCGGGTGGATAACACAGATTAATGACAATAATCTTGAAGTGTTAGAGGTTACGAATTGTCCGTCTCTTACGTGGTTGATATCGTGCAGAGGTGGGGGGCTACCACCCACACTCAAAGAGCTTCGGATTTGGTGGTGTAAAAAGTTGGAGGCACTGCTAGTAGAAGAGGGGATGGAAATTAACTGTCCATCTCTTGAGTCTGTTTGGATCGTTGATTGTGATGGGCTCAAATACTTGCCAGATGCCCTTCCTAATAATAATAATCTCAGGAATCTCAGTCAATTGATCTTGTATGGTTGTAAGAATTTGGAGTGCATTCCGGAAGGATGGTTCCACTCCACAACAAATCTGACAAAATTGAATATCAGGGGATGCAAAAAACTGAAGGCCCTACCACACGGATTGCAGAGCATCAACTACCTCACTTCTCTTGAAGAGCTGGAGATGGATATTTCACAATGGAACAACAACTTCAAGAAGATTGGTTTGCACAGTTTATCCTCTCTTAAAAGACTAACGTTGATTGAAGGCAAAGAAGAAGAACATCTGGTGGGTTCCAGCTTTCCGATAGATGGGAAGTTGCTGCCCACCTCTCTGATCAATCTTTGGATCGGGGATTTTCGAAATCTGGAGAAGCTATCTTCTAAGTTGTTTCAAAACCTCGCCTCTCTTGAACAACTTTGGATCAGGGATTGCCCTAGGCTCAAATCTTTACCAGTGCAAAGGCTGCCTCCCTCACTTAATGAATTGTGGATTGAGAGTTGTCCGAGACTAACAGGGAAGTGTGAAAAGGGGAAAGGCAAATATTGGCCCCACTTAGCTCACATTCCTCAAGTCGAGTGGTGTGATGATTCTAAGTTCTAAACCGTGTGGAGATTCCCACCGCAATACAAGCAGTCAAATTGCCAGGTAATAGGTTTTTAAAAAAAATAGAAACTAATTTGATAAATATCAACATTTAAAAATTATTTTCAGATTTTAAAAATAAAATATTTTTTCAAAAATAGAAAATCATATGAAAAACCATATCTGCTTTTCATTTTTGTTTTGGTTTTAGAGTTTTCAAAAATAGTTTTAAATTTTTTATTTGTATTTTTTTTAATATATTGGCTAATTTTTTTTTATTTTTTATACGCATCTAATCTACATACATTTAAAAAAAAATTAAAAAAAAATCTTCAAAAAATTTAATAAATACAAAATACATACGAAAACGTGTTAAATTTGTATATTTGTTAATTTTAGTGATTTTTTAAACAATTTTTTTCATAAATTTTATACCTTTTATTTGTATTTAGATTGAGTAGATCTAAAAACTAAAAAAAATTGATTAAAATACTTAAAAAGATCACTAAAAACAATAAAATATGGATTGAAACTTAAAAACCATTTTTGAAAAATCCAAAACCAAATAGAGTTTTAAAAATTATTTCAAATTCTAAAAACTAATCAGTGTGTTTGGTTTTAGTTTTTTGAATTCAGTTTTTTGAAAATTGAGTTTTTTTTTTTCTTTTTTGTGAATATTTTTTAAATTTTAAGCAATTTTTTTTTAAACATTTTAGATGCACCTTACCTAGATGTATCTAAATAGTAAAAAATATTTGCGAAAAAATATTTTTTAAAATTAATAAATACACAAAAATACGAAAATTGTACTAAATTTTTATTTTTTTTTCTTGTATTTTTTGGTATTTAGTGTATTTTTTTTATAGATTTTTTTCACAAATATTATACTTTTTAAGTGTAATTAAAAAAATTGCTCAAAATATTAAAAAATTCATAGAAAACATTAAAATACAGAAAATAAAAAAGTAGAATTTTTTGAAAACTATTTTGAAAACCAGAACCAAACAAGCTAAAAGTGTTTTGGATTTTCAAATTTCTAAAAACTACTTTTACAATATATAGCCAATCAAATTTTTAGAAAATTATTTTCCAAAATTGATTATGAAATCCAAACCATAGTTTTTTGGGTTTTTTTGGGCTAGTCATTAATAAGTTATTTTTGTGTTTGTTAAGTTGTTGCTTGTCTAGCGACTAGGAAAAGTCAAATTGAAAGTGATTAAAGCTAGTCTTGTTAAGGGGGAATTTTTTGGCCGGTCAAATAAGGGCAATGTTTAAAAAAAGGAAAGAGAATGAAAGGCTATGAAATTATGTAAGTAGTTTGCAAATGCTTAGAAAAATTAAACAAATTTTTTGTTGTTGTAAGAGCTAACTTAAAAAGTTACAAACAAATATACGCATATGAGGTATCCAAATTTCATTTTGGTGAGTTGTTCTGAAAATATGGAAACTGAAAGCAATTTTAATTGTATACCTGGAGTTGTTACATTTTTTGTATGAAAAGAATTCAGAGTATTAAGTGTTATCAATTTATAAGGGATTATTTGATACAGAAATGTACTTTCAAGCATCTGAATACAAAGAAAAGCTTCTTCCGATAGATTTCCTTGTCTGCTTTTATTTCCCGAGGGAACCACAACAAATTGAAGAGTTCTCATTTCTTTCCAACTTGGTGCATTTGTCCTTGGATATCCTGTCCTTCCAGTGATTGTTCGCTATCCCCGTGTACACTTTGATCACTCTTGGTAAGAATTTTCTTTAGTTGAAACCTTTTTAGTGTTGTCTTTTGTAATATATTTTCCTAACTTGCATCATATGGCCTTTCATTTTGTTTAGGGGATATATAGCTTCGGGAAAGCTTATGTTTAGAATGTTCAGAGTTTTACAATTTCATGGAGTAATGTTGAGTAATTTTTTATTTATCTATAGTTGCATATATTGAAAATGTGGTGAGCTTGGCTTCGCCCACTATTTTTGTTTGTAAATTTTTTGGGTAGTATAGTGTATGAGGTGGCAATTTATATATAGGTTGTTATAGTGATGCCCTAATTTGCTATTTTTCTTTTGATAACTAACTCTCGCAGATCATCAATACTGATTATTCATCAACTTAAATGTACATGCATTTACATGATGTGTCCTTGACTATATTATAATTTGAATTTTGGTTACTGAATAACTTTTATGTCGTAAAAAGTTGAATGGAGTCATTTATTAAATTGTACAGGTAGAGTATCTTCCTGTTGTGTTACCCCTTGAAAATCAGTAGGAAAATGCTATCCATTTTGCTCAAAAGGTGAGTCAACATTATTTGATTAATCTTTGCTGCCTTGTTGGCTTTAGTTGATATTTTAATATTAAGTATATTCTTATACATCAAAGTTTTTAATGAGCACATTACATACAATTTGTTAACTTTTTGTATATTGTTAACATGTCCTGTATTTCATATGCTTAATCTCCTAAGAAATTCAGAACCAGTGGATGTTTAACACACCATAAATATTGTAATTGAATGTGTGTGATGTCATGTCTACTGCATTTGTATGTGGAAGCTTGCTCTTTTTTTTCGCATCTGTGCACAAAGAATCAGCCAATTGATGATTCCTGGTCTTTGGATTTCAAGCAATATTATATACATACAAAGATCAAAATTTCATTTCGGTATGTTGTTTCAAATAGTACAGAAACAAAAACATCTCGAAAATTTTTGATGAAATAAAGATAAAATAGAAATGTTTGAAATTATAAATTGAAATATATCTAAATGTATAAAAGCCTAATAATTGATTAATTAAACAAATTGAGATTCATATAGTCAATCACTTAAAAGAATTGAAAAACTAATTACGAACTAAAAATTATTAAGTACTGTCAAATAACTCAATTTTATTAAAAAAGAAATTTTCAATAAGGTCTAAAAATTTACTTAGGCAGTAGTTATAAATGTTTATGAAAATTTCTAAATTTGTAAAGATACAATTTATTCTTTCGGTATATCACACTATGTTTTGATGTGTTTCAATGAAAACACTAGAATTTTATTATTCCACTAGTGTTTCATTTCGATCTCTTGGGAAATGGAAACATTTCAGCCATTTCAATGGAAACAAATGAAAATTTTGTTCCTCATATATATTAAAGATAAATCCATGTCAAAAAGTTTTTCATTTATGTGTTGTCTACGTTTTTCATGTTATTTGGTTCCAAACAAATGGCATATGGTCTATATTAAAATTGGGTGTAACTGCACATGCAACAACCCTCGTGTCTTCTATGTGCACTATGTTAACTTATTACAATTGGAGGAATAGTTTCTTATTGTCCGTCTTTAGTTTGGGAAATTTTTCCCTTTTGTATTCTTTTAGTAGCTGTTGGTGTATTGCCTTGATTCTTAGGGGCAGAGCCATGTATAACAAAGTTGGGTCAAGTAACCCCACTGGAATTTTGTAAATCTGAAATTATTATTCAGACTTTTTGAAAATTTTATTTTAAATGAGGTCAATCTTGTACACTAAAAAATATGAACTAATTTCATAAAGCATAGAGATTAATATATACTTGTGTTACCCTTTTTTTTCCCCTCTAATAGTTTAGTTATTCTTTCATTTTCTTCTTTCTTTGAATTCTTTTGTAGATGTTCATGTGTTACCTACCTTATACATCACTATTATCCTAATATCCAAGGAGATGATTACTGCATTATGTGATAGTTTGGGAGAGGATTTATACTTATATTTAAAAAATGGGGCAAAAAAAGAGAAGAGAACTTGTGGCATTAAAAAGGAATTGTCAACAAACATAGTGGGTGTTGTTTTCTTCGACTAAATTAACTAAACAATCCTTATGTTCAAAGAATATATCTGAATTAAATTTGTTCAAAATTTTAATGAAGGAAAATATTATAGATTTACGATTTATGGAATCAATTGTTTAACTTTATTAGCATTTATGGGATTTTAGTATTAGTGATGCAGGCAGTCATTTATTAGATTTTTGTAAAAATTAACTAATGTGGTTTTTGCTTTCATTATCGTATTTGTAATTTGGTAACTATAAATTACTTGATCTAGTTTTGTGTATTGTACAATTTTATTAGTGTAAATTATGTATAATTGAAGGTTGATATTAGTGGTGAATTGTTTGATGGACGTTTCTAGCTCTGCAATGATTGATTCTTAGAACTTCTTCTTTGTAATATGGAGAAGAATCCTATTTTTGTAAACTTGATGATTATCTAACAGCACACTCCATTTTGGATTTGTCTTGATTTGCCACTTGAGCTGCCTTGAGTATATATATCATTCTCCCTAAGTTATTTGTGGATATTGAGTTTTTAATCCATCAATTCATCCCTGATGGGTAGCTGCAGACTAGCCATGCTATAGCTACCTCTCTTAATTTCACACACGAAGAAGTTATTGAAACTAAATGATTTTCATTGGATTGAAAACTCAGAGATATAGTACCTTATATACACCCCACATGTTTACAAAATATCTAACTAAAATATCTAACCTAACTCACTCTATTACATCAAGTTGAACTAACACTTGACTTGTTTGGTTTGCAGGACAACATATCTCTAGTCTGGTCTTGGATTGAATCCTAGATTGCCGAGTCTTGATTGGTTACACTAACTGGACAAACATCTCATTCCTATGGGAACATCATGCTGATTGCAAACGCTTCTGAGTCCAAACAGGTCACTTTTCATGCTCCATGTGTTTTGGCTTTTATAGTTTATCTTGCTTTTAGTTCGGCAAGAATGATCTTGTACTTCATTCAAACATTCTATGGAGTGCTAGATTTCAGCTCTTAAACTTAATTTGATGGCCTTTTTTGCGATGGACCAAGAATATTTAATGCAGCTGCAATGATGGAATTTACATTGTCTCCTTGGGATCTCATAATGCATTAGGTGTAGGCCTTGAAGCACACCATTTAACGCTTATAATTTTCTCTTCCAAAATAAATAAGTTGAATTAATGTTTTTGTTAATGACTATTGATTAATCTATATGTTACTGAATGGAGGAAGGATCACAGATTAATTTGAAAAAATAGAGGTAAAAAACGCAGCAAGGAAGTCTTGGAAAAACTAATGTGCCAATAAAAGGTCTTGTATTCCTTTAGTTCTAGCAAGGAGATTTTTCCATCTCAACTGGAGTCTTGAAACAGATCTTTAAAATGTAAATACAGTATTACTTCTATCTATGTTAATTGGTTTCTTTTCTATGGTTGTAGTAAACAACGAATTGTTAATTAATGGAACATGAAAAAATAAAATACCTTGGAAATGAAATTTAAGGTTGCAATTTTGTGGGAAGAAGAGTATACATTATGTTGATGTTTGGTGCATTATGTCTGAGTCATAGCACTTGACATGTACACCTTGAATCTTTAGTGAAGGTGTAGATAAGCCAACTCAAGCAATATGTCTGGCTGTCCAAATTCTTAAGCATACTTCTAGCTGTTTAACCTTGGCTGGTGAGGAGTAAAATTTGTAAGCATACTTCTAGCTGCTTAACCTTGGCTGGTGAGGAGTAGACTGTTTTCAAACTTGGCAAGAGCTAAGCCAATCTTGCTCAAGCTCAGCTCAGCTCAACGTTTTCAGACAAAAGACCGAGTTCCTAATCTTGGATAAGCTTTACATTGTTGGAAAGTCAAAAGAATAGGGGCCTTTGAGTAAAATGTCAGAAAGTAGGGATTTTTTTTATCACGGTTCATTAGAATGGATTCTCACTTTGTCCGTCCATCAGCTTTAACAAAACTCAAGGAGTAAAATTAGCATAATGACCTGCCTGATATTTGGAATTGGACAAAAATTCCCACAACCTGTCATGGCCTACTTCAATTCTCTTTCACATGCATTACTAAAAATATTTTAGTGTACTCTGGTTTGCCTAGTTTGATTTCTTTCAAATTGGGTTGATTCATAGAACTTGAACTTTGTTCATTTAGCTCAACAATCTAAATTTTGCGAGGACCAAACAAAGTGTACTCGAGGCTCCAGCTGCTTGGTTCTTTTAGCAGTTGTAACCTTGAGGTATGGTGAATCTTGCCTAGACATGAGCTTTTTGTGTGGTTAATTTCTAGAAGCCTTCATTTCTCCGTAATATGTTTCCACTTCGATGGAAGAGCATTTTTTTTTTTTGGCCATATATGTCTTGCTCCTTCCAGGGGCAGAGTCAAAATGATACTGGTTATGACCAATATGATGTTGGTTATTTTATGCATATAACAGTTATTATTGGCTATTGAATTCTTTCTTTAATGCATACTGGTTTTTTTTTTTTTTTTTGCCATATATGTCTTGCCTAGACATTAAGTTTTATTAATATATATTTTTTAAAGTTTGGCATATCCAATTTTTTATTAGATACGTGTCAAATAAAAAATCTAGACAAATAAAACAAACACTTATTTTAACTGAGTAATGTGTAAAAGAAAATTTATAGTAAAATAATATAAGCTAATTGATGTATTTATTTACCTTCAAATGGCCAAATCACCAAAGTTAGAGATTGAACAGTTGCTGCATTCAAAATGGAGAGAGTTGGGTCTGCCCTGTATCTATCACTGTATATTGAGATCTTTGGACTGTTCCTTGTTGCTTGTTTCTTTACCTGAATTATTTTTGCATCTACAAAAGAGAGAGAAAAAGTGAATTTTGGATTTTCTAATGGTGTATTACTGTTGCAGTAAGAAGATAGAGAGAAATTAGACAAGTAGGCTTTTACAAG